ATTTAACACCATTAGGTGTCTCTCGCATTCCAATTTCCATTTAAGTCTGTCATTGCAATCTTCTGCAGTTAATTCTCTGCTAGCCATCACCTTTCCCACTCCTTCCTTCCATGCACTTTTCGATCTTTCTCGTCTTCAGTGTGATGTTGGTTTCCAATTCCAGAGGTTTAGAGACCCATCACATTGACTTCTTCACCCATTCTGTTTAAGGGACCATACCATTTGAGCCTTTTAATTTCAATGGTATCAATAATGTTGAAACTCACTTCTGCTTTTCTTCTAATTTCTTTGTTTCGTACTTTGTTCAACGATGTCAATTCGCAGCCACTTCCCCAATAGTCCGTTTCCATTGCTGTAAGTTTATTCTCATTACCTTTCAATATTTCCCAAACTTCAGACCCATATGTGGCAATATTCTCTATAATAGTCTTGTATAATCTTTTTACATTCTTTCATAGAGTTTAATTCTATATTAACAGATGTAATTGCCTTATAGCTACTTTACCTTTTGATATTCTACTCTGAATGTTTACTACCCCCTTTGCTGCTAATTGAGTGCCTAGATAGATAACATTCTGTCAGGATTTCAATTCAGGCCCATTGGGTATACATAGAGTCTTAGCTTCTCCTCATACAACCATATATTCTGTTTTATTAATATTTCTTACCAGCCCCCAATTTAAGTACTCTTCATGAAGTTTTCTTAACATTTACAAAACATCATCTCCCTCCTCAGTGAACATTACTCGGTCTTCTGCATAATTCTGAGAATAGAGCATGGAATCATCAATTTTTACACCCAGATTACAATTTTTCTTCTCCAGTTTTTTAAATCTTCATTTAAATATAATTTAAACAGAGCAGGAGCTATGCAACACCGGTGCTGTAAGCATTTGTTTACAGAAAATGGTTTGGAAAGGTTTCTTCCAATTTTAATCTGACTTGCGTTACTGCAATATAGGTCTTTAACAGCTTTTAATAAGTACATTTTAACATCTTGTTGCTCCATTGCCATCCAGAGTTTATTTAATAGAACTGTGTCGTAGGCTTGTCTTAAATCTATGAATACCAAGTGAGTTTCTAAATTATGGGCCAGCCAGGGTTAGTCACTAGTCGGATACCAAAAATATTATCAGTACATGAGTGTACAGCTCTAAAGCCGCTGTTTTCTTCCACATCTATTAGATCCATTTCAAGGCGAAATTTTAATATTTTTTAATAGAGCTGGCCAATACTACAGAGCACAGTTAATCCTCTGTAATTCCCATATTGTTTTCTGTCACCTTTTTTGTATATGTTAGAAATGTAACCGTTTCTAAAGTCCTCTGGCAGTGTCTCTCCCTTCATACTCCTAAATATAATAGGCAGAGAATTTTGAGAACTACACTCTGACCTTTTTTCAACAGCCTAATATACACTGCACCTGGGCCTGGAGACTTTCCATTTTTGAATGTTCTAAGAGCGTTTCCAATCTCATTTACTGTAATGTATTTAATGTCATTCTCTCTATCTCTCATATTAATATTGTAAACATTGATGAATTCTTTTCTGTCTTCGTTCATCAATTCTTGATAATATTCTTTCCTATAGGTTTATAAGTAGCAAGGCTGAACATTGTTGCTCATTTGTTCTTATATTTTTATAAGTTTCCAAGACTCTCTTGCTTTGGTATTGCCAATGCGTTGGTCAATTTCTTCACATTTCTTTTCCCAAGCAGCATTCTTAGCTTTTATAATTTCCTTTTTTGTTTCCCTACTTATTTGATTATACATCTTTTTGTCATCATCTTGAGTACTTAGCCATTTTCTATAACTTTTTCCTTCTCTCTTACTTTCTTTTCTAAAGAACTATTCCACCACATATCACTTACTTTCCCTTTATCACTTTCTGCTTCTCCAAAGCTCTCATAAGCAGCTTCATTGATAGCTCTTACGATTCCATTGTAGAGACATTGGATAGTTGTGTAATCTGATTGATAGCTTTCCACTGAGTCTGAATTTATATAAAAAGTTTATTAATGGGTCTGTTAGAAAATAAAATTTACATTTCGGGATTTGTATGCTCAGAGGTGTGTTTTGAATATCATTTTGTTGAGTTTTATTCACAAATGGAAGATTCAATTTTGACTTCAGCAGATAATGATCTCAGTTGCATTCGGCACCCCTGTATACTCTGATGTCTTCCACCTTGACTTTGTTGTTATGTTTGCCAAGTACATAATCTATTATTATTATTCTTGTTCCTCTAATCCATGTAAACGTGTGAATATCCTTATATTTAAAGAACCCACTCCAGATTTTTAAGCTGTATTGCATACACACTTCTATCAGCCTTTACCATGGTCGTTCACATTTCCTCTCTGTACCTTCTGACCACATCATTTTGGACTTGGCTTCCTATTCTTACCATTAAAATCCCCAAGTAAAAATGCATCTTTTCTATTAGCGATTCTATCCAAGACATTTGTCAATTGATTAAGAAAAGCAATCTTCACCATTTTAGGAGCATCTTCATTTGGGGCATATATACCTATAAAACTATCTCTATTCCTTCCATTTTAAAATCTCGTGTTAAAATATTCTCATTGATGCTTGTCCAGCTCTTAATATTATTTTTATATCTTTTTGATATGGCAATGGAGACTTCTTCCTTTTCTCAATTTTATTTGTTCACCTCATTTAAAGACTGCATTCATATATTTACTTCCTATATTCCTTGACCTTTCTTTTTATTTTATTTTTTTTTTCCCCTGACAAAACAGCAATTTCCACATCCTATTTACTTAGTTTTTTCAAATACATCTACGCTTTTCAGATTAAAACGCTGAATGTTCCACGTTCCTATATTCATAAACTGTTTCCTGGACATTCCTGTTATATTTTTTCTGTGACATTTAGCAATCCAGCATTTTTTAATAGGGGTAGGAGTGCTGGCCTTAAACCCTAATCCCCAGCCTGAAGGACCAGAGATTTCTTCTTCAGAGTTACCTTTCACTAGACAGGCTGCTTTCGTCCCACCTAGAGTCCTACCCACCCTTACCCCAAGTGATGGGAGGAATGGATTAAGAAGCAAGTAGGAAAGGTAAAGGAATAGGATTATGCCTGAATGATCTGATAGGTCGTTGAGGGATACTGTCATCTGACTCGTGAGTGATCTGGGTTGTCCGGGTGACGCCGCGTGGAAGGCTGAGTTGCCGACATTTCGACCATCCTGTCGTGGTCTTCCTCAGGGCTGGTATGCTGCTCCTCTGACTCCTCCACCAGAGCCAATTTGGCTAAGGAAACCATACCTGTAGCTATGCTACCACCAGCGTAGCCCCTGATTTCATAGGAGCGCACAAACCTCTCTGCCCACACGGACAGTGTTACTATAAGGTTGTATCACAAGGAGAGGCATCCTCAAACATATTATCAAAATTACATGTATTTAAATAGGTATATTTTCTAAAATTTATAAAAAAATGAATAATTTATATCAATGTAACATGAATACTCCTTTTCAGTAATTGTAATTACATCTTAATTGTACTTCTGAAAATGTAAGTGGCTCATTTTGTCCTTTATAAGTCATATAGAAGCAGGTATTCTCACGTTTTTCAGTGTCCAAATATTTGTAAGTTTTTACATGGGTCAAGATCTTGAATTTCAGTAGCTGTATCAACATCAATGCTTTCTGACATCACTTTGCCTCTCTTTAAATTGGCATTTGCACATTTGTCTAGACCAAATTGTATGTAATGTCCTTGCTAAAATCATTGATGAGAAACAACAGAGAGAATTGTTTCATTCTTGGCAAACACTTTAAGATCATTCATGTAAAAGACGTGTGACACTGGTCTTTATCATCATGAATCTTGTAATCAAAGTTAGAGTGTGACAACTGTCTCAATGCTAAAATCTAACTAATGCGAAACAGCAGAGGGGATAGTGAATCTCAGTGAAAAATACCCCTGTTAATCTTAATATGTCTTGTTTCTACTACTTTTTTGCACTGGGTTTTAGTAACGTTGTACTCCATAACTTCATGCCAGCCTTGCAGAACTCAATAGGACTAGGATGAAATCGATAGATCTCCAGGGCTTTGAAAATCCAATTGTGTGCTTCACTGACAAAGACCTTCTAGTAGTCAATCCAAGCCATGCTCAAATTACATTTTCTTTTCCTTACATCATTAAAGATGATTCTGTTTAGTAGCACTATTAATTTTATTTATTATTATTATTATTATTATTATTATTATTATTATTATTATTATTTGCATTTTGCCATTTCTGACTAAGACTTTGGACTCTTTCTGCTACATATTTTCTTTCAAGGCCCAGTCGTATTCGATTCTGGTGAGAGATTAATGTGATTAATTATGAGGCTCAGCTTTTCCACTGTATCCCTTCGTAAGAGAAGATTGTTAAGCCTTGAGTTGTGAATTACGAGGTGATAGTGTGATGATGAGAGGTGATTGTGGCTTTTTGTACCATCCCAGCATTGGCCTGTACGATTGAGGGAAATTACAAAATCCTCGTTCTGCATGGCCAGTATGGCCAGTATGCACTGAGCCATTTTGCTTGGTTTATTATTATTAGTATTTTTTTAAAGATTTCTAATATTCAGTTTTTATTATTATTATTATTATTATTATTATTATGTTGTTGTTGTTGTTGTTATTATATTATTCATAATTTATTTTTAGTGGTGAAAAGAGGGGGGGATACCCTCCAGTGTTCCCAATTACAGTACTTTCTACACAGCGTATAATGATACAATTTGAATTGCATTGAAGTGTTTTTGAAATGTAAGTGGGCAGTGTATTATGTCAGTAGAAAATGCTTAGTGTGTTGTGATACTAATAAATTTCATGCAATTGTCATGTTAAAGTTAATCTTTAGTAAAATATAAAATATATATATATATTATATATATATATATATATATATATATATATATTATATATATAATATAATACTATTATGAATATTGTTAATATTTTTTTCTTTATGTCATTAGGTGAGAAAGCACACATGTGTGACACATGTGGAAAAACATTTGCTCTTAGAAGGACTTTAATACTTCATATTTCAATGGTTCACCATCACGATCGGAATTATTTCTGTAATACATGTAACAAACCATTTAATTTGAAGAAAGACTTGAAACGCCATGAAGTAGTGCATTCAGGTTGGTAGTTGTATTGGTATTTGGTTGTTATTTGGTTATTGTATATAAATTCTTCATGAACTTCTTTCAGTCTCTGACATGATCATTTCTGACCTGTCTCTTCATTGAAATTTTAATGACATAATGAGTGTGTTTTTCACATGTTGTGTTTTTGTTGCGTTTTTCATAAAGTGATTGAATTTTTCACATAAAATTTGCTTTTTACTCTTCAATAGATTACACAATAATTAAATGGAATGAAAGATTATTTCAAATTCTCGAATGGTTGGACTCATTAATTTGTATTAGTGCATTTAATTTAATGCATTCAAATAGGTGCTACCTTAATCGCTTTTTAAGCTAACGATTTTTCTACAGAATTATGAGAGAAATGCTTTAGTTCAACTCGGAATCATGAAACATTTTTGTCTTTCTTGTCACATTATGGAACATTAAGTTTGATTTTGTTAAAGTACTTCTTGTTTTCACATGCCTTCTGATAATCCTGACATATTATTATGATGTCAAAATGTAATTTCAATATTTACATGTGGTTTTTATGTCGGGTGTCCAACAAAAACTAAGAATTACTCCATTTATGGGGTTCTTCCACATTCAAGGAAAGATATATAGAGATAGACAGACAGACAGACAGACATATATACACAAACTATAACAAATGTTTTATCTTTTTTCAGTGGTTCAGCCACATAGTTGCACGTTATGTGGCCAGGGATTTCGCCGGAAGGATAACTTTGAAAGGCATATGAAAAACACGCATCCAGAAACAAGAATGGTAATTGTTGGAACTTTTAAGCAAAAGCCAAGCGCTAATAAAGCAGCAGCTGATAATAATCAGAAAAACAAACATAAATCTAATGAAAATGGTGAAGTTATTGAGAAGAATATTCCATCACCAATTCCCCCATCACAAACTGTTGATCCAGAAACTTTGCGTTCTATAACAAAAATTTCAGATGAAAAAAGGAACTTGTACAAGGCAAGAGAAGATAAATTTTCAGAACATAACAGGGAAACAAACTCTTCAAATTATATGGAAACTGATATGCAGAGTAACTATTCTACAGCAAATCCCAATACCTCATTAATTCAGGAATCATTGCATGCTCAATTTCCTGAACAGTGCTACAAGAACGTTGATACCATACAGAAAACTGCTGGTGATTCTGCGACTACAAATATTCCTCAGGAATCAAATCCTGTTGCTGCTTCTACTATCCCCACTATTTATCCTCCCAAGAAAAATGTGGAATATTACAGAGAAGTGTCAGTTATAAATCGATCAAGTAATGTGATGAGTAGTAGTGTTAGTGAATCAAATGGTCAAAATATAAACACAAATTATCAGCAAGCAATTGTGAGACATGTAGAAGGAACTAATTGTGTTCCTACAATTACAAGAGCATCAGAATGTGTATCAGGGTCTGTGATCACTAGAAATTTACAACAACCCAGTTCTTCAGTTGTGAAACCAATATCTAGCCACAGAAGTTATCAAGCAGTGGATTTGGTGCCTTGCTTAGAAACTCAAGTCGATCAGCCCTCATTACGGAAATTGTTACATGATGTTAAGTGTAGTGATGGCAGTGATATTTTGAATCTTACAAATGATGTTAATATGAACAAAAGATCTTTATTTACTGATGATTTTAGACATGTAAGTGATTTGAAATTTTATAAACATAATGATGTTGAACAATTCTACTCATCCAAATATCCTGATACGCATGTGCCTGAAACATCATTGCCAAATGCAGAGAATGAGCACTCATCCATTATTCATGAAAAATATTTATCAAATAACTACACTCAAAAGATTCCTTCAGAAACCTTAATTTCACATAATAATTGCAAACATAATTTTCAGTCTCTAAATTATAGCTTCATTCCACCTTCATGTGCAGTATACAGGGACAATTCCGATGAGAACTTGTCACAATACTCGGAAATCTTACAACCATCTGAAATGGAAAATCGAAATTCAAATGTTCTCAATAAAACTTATACAGAAAATTATGTGTATAGCACAAAACATTTTGATTCTGATAGTCGACTGAAACTATTATCTGGTATCTCACATACTGAAGATGCTTCATGTGCCCAAGCTGTTGGTCAACCTGTGATAGTTGGAACTAAAAAGGTATCCAATAATGTGATTTGTACAAATTTCAGTTCATGATATTTTCTAAATAAAGAACTTTGTCTAACTTGTAATTTATATTTTTATTGAATTTTGTAACTATTTTTTTAATTTTATTGACATGAAAACAAGTAATTCAGTGATGTACTTGGAAGAGAGAATTATGATCTTGGGCCATTGTACAATCATGGCCAATTTTGCCCAAATTATAACAGCGGAACTCAGAATAAAACTAAAGTTTTTCATCATGGTCAAATAAATTTTTTGAAATGGTTGTCAGTACACAGATGCACACAATCCTGAGTGTTTTACTAAAAATACCTTCAGATGTATAAAAATGAAATTATTTTAAAACATACCATAGTATGATAGCATTATCACTGTTGTCAGAGGAAAGAATGCTTAATGAACACCACAAATTTCAATATGTTTTAGAATACGTCCGTATATTTGACATTCCAACTTGATAGACTTCTTTTTTTAGAATGTTTGCATAATTTTTAATTATAGATATTCATTTCACATGTGACACACCTTAATTTCATCTCGCTGAGAATTAAAGTTTTACACAAAAAGGTGTTAAGGCTTTTAAGGAAACACCATGATAAAGAGTTGGGGGAGGATTCAAAGATATATACTGATGGAAAACGTTGACATGTCAAAATGACAATCTTGTTCACAATAACTCAACCTCAAGCACACTGAGTTTAGCATCTTAATAAAAGAAGGTATGTGGTCAGACCATCAAGCAATTGAAACCACGATGTAAATTTTGGCTGCGGATACATACTGCTAATTAGTTTAAAAATTTCCAAATTTCCCAACATTTTCGTACTATTTTTCATTTCTACAGAGAACTTGGACAGTCCTCACAAGCCGAGTGGCGAAAGCGCTTTCATCAAGGTCAAATGACATTCGGTGGGAGCAGGCCATTCTCGGTTCACTCTGTTTTTCTTATTGTAAAAGTCCATTTTATTTGAGGTATTTTATTTCCTTGCCGATGAAACTTTGTTACTTTTTTCATGATGAATATTTTCAATATGCATTATTATTATTAAATATTGAAAACGTATGTCATAACTACTGCTTCACTTTATATTTAAATTATGTAAAGAAGAGATTTAAGAGTTGTTTTGTGAATCAAATTCACATCTCATGGCCTCATTTTGATTTTTGCGAAAATTACCGTTCCTTAATTTGTGTCGATGAATCAATTTTCTCGTTGAAAATTCCGAAAGATTTACAAGTTTACTGCACTTTTCCAGTTTGCACCGACCTTTCGTATGTGATTACACAACTGACCTGTTTCGCAGTAGACGCAGACAAGAGCTCCCAAATTTGTTGAGGAAAAAGCTCCAGGGAGGTAGCTCATTTTGGATGGAAGATGAGCGGTTGCGGCAAGGTTTATCACGCACGAAAATGTATTTCTTCACAAAATGAACAACATATGAAACTAAAATTCGGAAAAACTTGTATTAGTAGTTCAGACTATGTATAGTTAATATAGCGTATTATTTTAACTGCTAGAAGGGGTCAGCCTTCCTGCCTGCCCCTCGCAGGAAACGACCTTGGAAGCCAGAGTCTGCTGCTTGCGGCGAGCAGTGGTGTTGAATCACAAGCGAGCGCGCTGGGTAACACCTGCTTTGCAGGGTTCGCCATTTTTACATCGGTAAAAGCATAGGGCCAATTTGCAAGTTCAGGATGTTTTTTAATTGACTTTCAGTGAGTATCTGCAACCACACGTTTGATCGTGAGATTAATTCGTCATGTGCTTCCGATGAATAGAAGGATTAGGACAGGTTTTGACATGTCCAATCGCGGTATACCCTTGTTAAAATATTTAAAACGAGGGTTACCTGACTTTCAAGAAAGAAATGGAGAACGGTCGGCGTGGTTAGCGGAATTTGTTCACTACGCTCCGTGAAGTCACGGAGGTTAAGCGAATTCGAGGCTCGCGGGTTCCTGGTTCGTTGACCCGCTAGGAACCACGAGTTTAACGGCGTCGTCTTCGGCCCATGGCTGAAGGGATAAAAGGCACTGACTGACTGACTGCAACGTGACGAGACTTGAATTCAAACAGAGCCTGAATATGCTGTTGGAGAACACATGGCCACACCATTTCTATGCGTGACCACAAAGAATCGAGAGTGGTTGCTGAAGGACCAGAGAGAACAAGTTGCCGACCGACCACATTCAAGACGTGTTCGATGAAGGACATGTCAGGCGAACGTGCAGGTCTGGGAAGCAATGGTGCCCGTCAGTCTTAGCAGAAAGCTTGCAAATTCCTTTCCACATGCGTTTGGGCATTGTCCTGCTGAGATTTGGCATGTAGAGCTGCTTGAAGTAGGTGCAGTATCTTGGGGTCTAAAATCTCTCTGATATAGTGGGTGCTGTTCATATTGCCCTCAATACGTATGAGGCGAGATCGCACATTGCAACCAATGGCGTCTCAAACCATCATACTTGGCGTTTGTCCGCTCTGACGCGGAACAATGTAGGCTAGCAGATTACGACCATTATGGTAGCGTCGAACACGTCCGTGGCCAACGCTGTGGCACAAATTCAAGCGGGACTCTTTTGAGAACACTACATTTTGCCACTCAGCAAATACGTTCACGTGGCTATTGCATCCTGAGGCTTTGATGGTTTCTGGGCAACGATATCCGACGCAGTGGTATGCGTGCCACCAGTCCAGCCCTCAGTAGAGCAACACTGTGGACGACGCCGTTCTGTCGATTACGGCCATGCGGACGTGATGGCGGTCATCTCACGCAGTGGTTACATTGATCAAGTACGCACTCGTATCTGAGTACGACCCTCGTTACTCTGGTTACACACACACATCACTGTCGTTGCAGCAAGCCGCCGTTCGAGCCACGCTGTCACGGTACTTCAAACCCGCTTCCCGGAGACCGATCATTCAGCCCTGTTCGAACTTACGATGCTGATACTGCGCACTTAGGCGTTGGCGAGGTTAACTGTTTCACGTTTGCACGTTTCCGCGTCGTTTGACGGCTCTACACCGACTGAGCGTGGGCGTAACACCGACCTGACTTGTCACACAAAAGAGGCCGCGGATGGGCCAACGTGCATGCTATCTCAATGCAAATTTGATCACTTCTTATGGATACACTGTTCTACATTTACCAAATTTTAAGTGATTCTGACCATTCCTTCTGGGTGTTGCAGTTTTCACATCACCAATGTAGTAATTATTAAACACTATAGTATTGTAATATTCTAAAAAAGTTCATTCGTTTTAACTCGAATAATCAGTTATTCATTGTGTGAACTGTGATGTAACCCTGTCCTGTCAGATAGTTGACATGGGCATAAGGTTAATGATCGGCTCTGTAGGTTCGTTCCGTCTCAATTATTTTACCTTTTTACACATTACACATGCTTAGTTATTGTTTTACTGGGTGGTAATGCAAAGAAAATATTTAGTTTTCCTCGACAAATAGGTCATTTGCTTTCTGAATGAAAATTGCAGATGAACAATTGTTTTGTTCTACTAAATGTAATTGCATAATTCTCAGTCGCGCACTATTGCCGACGTGAACCACATGCCTTCTACGTTGTTCCATGAACCATAAGTTACCAGTTCATACGTGAAAACAGTGAACATTCTGTATCACTATGTACTGAGAACTGTAACATTCTAAGCTAATGTAAAACTGTAATTGTACGCTTTCAGCACGAACAATCTTTTCGCTGTGTTGCACATGACTGCGTTATATCCAGCAACAACGCAATTTTACTCTGCATCATATTTCTAATCTCGTGTTGTTCTGCAATTGTGAATCGCTGCAACTCATTGCTTCGTGGTTCTAATCAAATACGCATGTTGAAATAGCGTGTCAATGGCGTCCTGGAAAAATTCTGTGATTAGTGCAGCATGCTAGTCTAACTACTGCACCGTCATGTGTAATGTGCGACTGATACGGCCATTTTTTAACGTAATTGCTCTCAGTGATAGCCTGTACGCCGTGTTAACAAAATGTGGCGTTAGAAATATTCGCTCCCGTATGGAAGTGTGGTGTCATATCAGTCGCCTTGTACAAACGTACCAAAAGCAGCCACGTGCATTTCATGCTCATGGACAGCGCTGGCGGAAGAGACGCAGGGCTCAACAAAGGCAAACCTAGGGAGCGGAAGGGAAGGGGTGCCGTGTCGTGGGTGGCAAAATTGTGAACCCCGTAGGCAGGTCGACGGCGGAAACGCTTTGGCGGAAACAGCGAGATGACGCAGTTCCATCAGCCGGGCCAGAAGGTATATAAACGGACCCCGGAGCCTAAAACTCCTTCTTCTGGTTCTTGGGCGCGTCCGGTAGAAGTCGGTGGGTTGTGCGCGCGCTGCCATTTTAATGCATAGGCTCCTAGAGGAGGCAGGGAACTGAAGCCGGGCGTGCTACGGTCGAGACGGGATTTGCTTGTATGCTCACGTAGGCTACTTGTGCATCACACCGAATATGATATCTAATTATCAGGCCAGCGGTGTGGGTAACCAGGGAACATTCCTTCTAGTAACGGTCACTATTGTTTATTGTAAATATTGTTCATAGTATTCAGGTGTTGGAGCATTTTTTCAAATAAATCCTAATAATTTACAAACCTTCTCGTCTGTTGATTTATCCTGCCCCGGCAAAGAACGCGCCAGTGGACGAAACTACTTTGTCACGAAAAACGAGTTACAGATTTCATATAATAGTCTTTCCCACACCTCTCGCATCTAGCGAAATGAGGGCTCAAAAAAACGTGCGCGGATAATATTAATAGTTGCTTGGTACCAATGATCATAGCTTTTTATGGGTATAGTGCGACCGATCATTTACCGAATGTAAGAATTGACTTTCTTGTTTTTGTGGAAAGTTTGTGATATAACCTACAGTATCTACGAAATCTGCAGAAACAGTAACATACGGAATCTGCAACTATGTGAAATTAAGTGAAATGAATAATTACTTCAAATTCTAGGCGTTTAAATTAGCTCGGTAATAAAGTTAAATAAGATTCCGAAGAGTAGGGTTATGCTTGCCCGATCCTGTTTTTTAGCATGGTCAACTTTAAGTAGCTTTCTCGCAAGTAAAAGCGTTTATTATATTTTTGTGACTATTAAGGAAAGCAAAAGAACAACTGCCAAGGAACATTGTATAATTACTTTAAATGCTGTTTTTAAGGAAGTGTTGTGAACTGTTTCAAGAACATGTCTATAACACTGAATAAGCCTTTATTAAAAATCTGTTACACAT